GTATGTTATGGTTGAAATGGAAATTAATAATATCGATGGGGCTAGATTCTTACATAAATGCAGACACTCTGAAGTATTGGAAGGAATATATCTCGTAACGCCATAGGAGTGCTTGATACTATGATTGGAAAGATAGTCAGGAAGTCGGTCACAAAGTAAAAAAACTTAGTCCATTGTGTATTTTGAAACATAGCGTGTGTGGGGAGGGTGTTGTGCCGGTCTTTTTTGGGCAGAATGAGGAAGCATAGGAGTATCATCAGGTAATGGTCTTTGGCATTTAGGCGTGGAACCAGAGTTGATCTGAAGTGGGACGAGCGGGCAATCCGAAAATCGCCACACCGTAGAGGAAGAAGCCGGAATCATGGTCAAAGAAGTGTGGAGGTCAAATGTATCAAAGGAGTCATAGATGGAACCTCGGTACCTGGAGCGGGTGATAAAATGGCTCCAGCAGGAGGTTTAGAGGCATGAGAAATGTCCGAAGAGTGGTCAAATAACAAAGTAGGGTCGGAACGAGTTGCAGTAGCAGAAAGGGGCCCAGGGGAAGCTGTTTCATGGATTTGGGACTCATGGTCATGTCACTTTTTTTTTTTTTTTTTTTTTTTTAGAAAAAAGAAAAAAAAAAGGGGGGGGGGTGAATGTAGAGGGACAGCTCATAGGAAGAATGAAAGAGCCGTAAATCCCCCTCCATGCCCAATAGAACCCCAGCACTGCAAGTAGTGCAGATGCAGCATGAAACCCATGCCATACCCTACCATTATGCCAGTAAACCAGCAATCTGGGATAGCAACCTCACATCTACTGAGCCACCTTGGTGGAGAAAAGAGAGCGGCCAGATATCCACCACAAAACATACCTCCTTCGGCCACCACCCCCTGGAATCCAAAAGGCAGCTTCCAGAAATACATCTGTCACCCGAAAGATGTCCAAAGCCACTCCCCAGACCAGGAGAGGGAGTGGGACATCCCCAGGTGATCCAGATTTCACGGCAAACTACACCACCACCACCAGACCTCAATGGAATGGGATGGACCATGGTACCCTTCCCCCTACCTAGGAACTAGAGTGCCTGTTGGAAGAATCCCAAAGGCTGAGAACAGGAAGGGGATAGGGGAGGGATGAGAGAGGAAGAGGAAAGGGAAAAGGGGGGATGGGGAGGATGGGATAGGGAAGGGGAGATTGGGAGGTAATTAGGTTGTCTGAGGAAGGAGACCAAAAGGTCTAATACCTCAGACCAAGAGCCTCTTCACAGTGCCAAGGAGGCCCCCTTGAAGAGGTATAAATGTATTATTATTATTATAAAGAAGGGGGAAGCGCACCCTTGAGAGGTATAATTATTATTATTATTATTATAATCAAGGGGGAAGCGCTAAACCCAGAGGATTATACAGCGCCTGTGGGGGGGGGAGATTGTGGAAGGCATTCAGGCTTAATTCAGGGAATTGGAGCACAGATGCTACATAATCCTACGGGTTTAGTGCTCCCCCTTGATTATAATAATAATAATGGAGCACAGATCCAATTCCCTAAATCAAGAGCCCCTCACTAACATCAAGAAACCTTCCTTGAGGGGGGTATAAATGTAAAGAATCCACATACCTACCCTCAACTATTATCACCTCCACTGCAACAGGTAGTGCTGTTGCTCCCTGGTAATGCCTTACCCTACCTAGTGGGTAACTGAGGTAGGTTTAGCTAAATGGCCTGAATAGTGTTAGAGCACTAATCATGGAGCTGTCTTTCAGCTAATGAAGGCAGTGGACAAACTGGAAAGAATGCCAGGAGTCACACACTCATTTATCACTCCTGGAACAGCAAGCAGCCTCCAGAACAGTACTTCAATGTCAGACACCCTACCAGATGGCATCCGTGTCTCTCACTGGAGATTAACCTGACATGCCTTAAGATGATTCAGTTTCCATCAGGTGGAGTGACACAACCATTGCAGCATTACCACTGGTAACTATATTAAACCAGGACTCTTGGTAGTCCCTTTTCTTCATCTAGGGGAATTTCCTTATTAATGAGGCCAAAAAAAATAGAAGATAAGGGAGTGTGGGGGTGTTTAGATTCAATACAAGAAAGAGCATGAAAGGTTAAATTCCTTACCCTTAACAAACACTTTTCCTGAGTTATAGGAGAATAAGACACTTGTCAACTTTAATTTTTATTATATTTTTCCCAGCATGGAGTTAATCTTAGAGGAAACAACTAATTGTTAAATATGAAAGTTACCAGTAAAATACGAGTACTTTTGATGGACATTGAGTGTGTTTTGCCATAAACAATTTAATAAACTTAAATGCCTGTCCTATTGATCAGCACTGCACATGGGAAAATAAAACTCATAAAATGTTTATAAATATCTAATGTATTTTTATCACAATCGACAACCTTGTGTTGTAATGTCTAAATCTATTAAAAAAAAAAAAATACTAACACACAAAGCTTCATACACCTACTGTTTACATGAGCAGGAAAAAAAAAATTCATTCCTAAAACATTTCCTTATATTTTACAATGATACTCATTTGGACAGATAACCAAAACTCCATTGACCAAAATTTTGGCCAAACACACAGGTCTAAAGCTACAATGTGAAAAAAATTGTATAACACATTGCAGCTAACCTTTTTAGCCCCCAAAATGGAAATAACACAAACATGGTCAACCATTCAGTCACACACACATACACACACACACACACACAACCCACTTTACAAGAACTAATGTCACAATAATCCCTCACCTTGAGTATGTCTGACTGTCAGATCATAAATTGCTTATTTACTTTTTTCCAGTACAATCAAAATTATAACTATTTAGAAATATTATAATGGCTATCACTTACAATAGACTTTATAATGAAAAAAATAATTTTGGTTATAATATAGTCATATTTATTTGTGAAAAAATGGACTTTTTTAATTGTTTCTGGTTGTACTGAATTATGGTACCGAAGTTGTACTCAACTTGTTTCAGGATGAACTAAATTTAAACTCCGTTTCTGACTGAAGCAAATATGAGTTCTTTCAAGTTGTACTTGTATTTATTTTTTAATGATATTGAACATTTTGCTTTTAGGTACACTAAATATCAGTTTTGTTTCTGATTGTACTGAGTTTATTAGTTTCACATACGTAGTACAAAATTTCAGTTGCTTTGTACTAAATTTTATTTCTGCTCTTTTGTACTAACTGTCATTTTCAGGTGTACCGACCCTGCACAACTTATCCAACTTCACACAATTCCCAACAAAATAAAAATGTTTACAATGTCATATTGTATGAAGTTGAATTTCGCTTACTAATGACTAAATCTTTCAATGACAAAATAATACTAGTGGTCATAACTAAATATTTCAGTTTACAACTAATTTTTTATACCATTTGTTGGGAAGTGTAAATACAGTACTTAAGACAGCCCAAAAAAAATATATTTGAGAACCAAACAAGTCTCTTGATTGTCAAGAACATAAATTATTTTATGGCCTATATCTAGTAAAATTCTATGCTCAAAAACTAAAGCAAGTGCCATTTGAACAGATAAAGAAATAGTGGCATTTCTCCAAAAATGCCAAATAAAAATAAGATTTATTTTTTCACTCATACGAGGTAAATGAGGTATACAGTATTATGAAGTACGTATTGTTTTAATAATTATTTCCATATACATATAAGATGCTTAATTAAAATATTACACTATTAAACTTAATATGCAATGATTTTTGGCATGTAGCTTTAATCTAAAAAAAATGGCAACATGCTTGACATCAACTAAAGTACAAGACTGAAGTACTGAAGCATATTATCAGTTTTGTATTACCACTGCCATCTTGAGAAAAACTGATGCAACTTCAATACTTTTTTGAAACAGTCCTGTTTAAATAAAAAAATATTTAAGGTACTTGTACCTTATTTACTTTCTTCTAGAATAAGCCATTATGTGATAGGCAGATTTCCATGATATCTTACAACTGAATGTGCTAGATTAGTGAGCCACAAAAGTATAGACATACTTTAAAAATGTACTTTATTACAAAAATTTAAGATAATGTTCACAAGCAAGAAGATTAAATGCTGATTAGCCTGGTCATGTGTAATCAAGGCAGTGAGTGGTATGTGTGCTTCTAGATTACTTACATTGTAGTATAGAAATTAAAAGATTTCTCAAATTGTGCTCTTGTCAGGATTTTAATATGGGTTACATACATTCATACATAATATTCCTTGCTAATTTTGGCTATAAAGAATTACACTATTTTAATCTGCAGATCCAACTTGAGACAACATAATATTTAAAGATAGAGAGGTGTTGAATGTCCTACAGTAAGGCTCTTAAGAATAAGGGCTGCATACTGGCTATTATTTTTGATATTGGAATTTGTTTTATCTTGATACACTATCTTATTGATGTCAAAGATGCAGTGTTATTAAGGGCGCTTGATTCATTTTGTGTAACGTTACAGAGTACTGTATCTCAGGAAAAGATTTAACTTTACCCAAAGGTATCAATTTCAATTGCACATTACTGTAACTGAGCAACAGTTACAATGGTCAAAAGTTTAAGAATAGCATTTTCAAGTATGCATTTGACCTACATTAAAATAAGCAAATACAGTGGACCCCCGCATAACGATCACCTCCGAATGCGACCAATTAGTGTGTTTGTACGTGTATGTTTGGGGGTCTGAAATGGACTAATCTACTTCACAATATTCCTTATGGGAACAAATTCGGTCAGTACTGGCACCTGAACATACTTCTGGAGTGAAAAAATATCGTTAACCGGGGGTTCACTGTAATTTGAGTTCGGCTTTCCATCCACAATGATGTGCTTCCAACACTTGATTTGTACTTAGCTCTACATGATGCATGTCATTCCATCATCTAGTATTAGTTAAAAACTCATTTTGTTTTTCCATAATTTAAAGCTTATATATATATATATATATATTATATATTATATATAATATATATATATATATATATATATTATATATATATAATAATATATATATTTTGTTTGATGTCACTAACTGTGGTCAAAATGCAGCAAAAAATCACATCAGGCCCTGAAATACCTATTTATAACAATTTCTTGGTATGTATATCCAGCCTTACTAACAATAACTGGGATATACCAACATTAAAGAATGGCAGTCTACTTACACTATTTGTTCACTGAAAAGAATCGGTGCACTAAGTTGCAAACTAAGTTTTGTTGATCACTGTAAAAGTGTCAGCTGGAATAATCTATTCCATCTTAACATGAATGAAATGTGAACCCATGCACAGAATAAATTCCAGTTGCACAGATTATTCTAAATCCAACATAAAAAGGCCACATATTTAGCTGAATTGCACTAAAGTAACAAAAATCCACTTCATCACATACTGAACCCAGAAAACCAATTTCAAAAAAAATCAAAACAATGTATGCTACTAATGGTTACTGGCTGCAAGATCCAAACATTAATACCCACTTTTGTTAAAAAACTGTAGGTGCTGCTACATACTTTCAAGAAACATTTAATAAAGCATAATCTGTACTCAGCAACACGAAAATAATCCTTGCATAGCATATCCTTTGAGTTTTGGCATAAATGATATATATAATAAAAAGTTTTTACTATTTAATCTGCTATCAACATATGACAAGTATTTATTTGAACCACATTACTGGAGAAGGATTACTACACAAAATATTTCATAAAGTAATTATAATTAGATATCAGGTAATTCAGCTAAAACAAATCTTAATCAAAAGCACACTATTCAAATGACATTATTATTGCAAGTATGTTATCAAAATGCTGAAATGACAGTTACTGCATCTATATTACACCTCAAGACTCTGCTTGAATGAGATCTTATTCAGAGCTGAGCTCTGGGAATCATGATTAACCAATTAAATAAAATAGAAATAGAAGTAAAGATACAGAGCTGCTCACACTGAAACCTGTGTTGTCACCAGTGGCGGTGAGGTGAGGTTGTCTGGTCGAGGGTGGACGGTGGAAGTGCTTGTTCCTGAAGCGGTCGTATGGACAATGCTTGATGCTACAGGTGTTGCAGAAATGGGATTGGAGACAGTTGTTGACACAGGAGAATTAGTGCCTCCTTGTTTCGAGGGGCTATGGAGTCCTGAGTTCCCAGATACAGCACTGTTGCTACCACGTGACCTATTCAATATAGATGAATTTTGAATTTTAAAGACAAACTTTATAACGAAGTAGTGCTCTATGACCTTTTTCTAGGTTTGGCACTTAACTTTATTATTATTAATTGGAAGAGGTGCTCATAAGTTACAACCAGAATAAAACAATGGATAAGCAAAAAAATATTATAACCAAATGAAATGCATACCAGGAAAAGTGTACTGTAGGGTTATTGTTCAAAGAATTAGAGGCAAGACAGAATATAGAAATGCAGATGAGCAAGGAAGTTTTAGAGTGGGTAGGGGATGTGTAGATCAAGTGTTTACATTGAAGCATATATGTGAACAGTATTTAGAAGGTAGGGAAGTTTTTATTGCATTTATGGATTTAGAAAAAGCATATGATAGAGTGGATAGGAGAGCAATGTGGCAGATGTTGCAAGTACAGTGGAACCCCGCCTTACGAACGCATCACGTTACGTTAAATCTGGCATACGAAGCATTTGAACGCAAGAAATTTTGCCTTGCCTCACGATAAAAAACTCGCCTTAGGTGATTTGTCCGGGACGTGTCCCACGTGTGGCCTCAGTGCCAGTGTTTACAAGCCAGCCAGTGCGGTCGCATCTACGCATACATTCGGTACATTATCCCAGTGTTTTTAGTGCTCGTAACTGCAAAATAAGTCACCATGGACCCCAAGAAAGCTTCTAGTGCCATCCCTGTGGTAAAAAGGGCGAGAATTAGTATGGAATTGAAAAAAAGAGATTTTAAGGAAATGTGTGCAAAGTGGGTTGAACTGCAAATCTTTATAGATGAAAATCACCCTGACACAGCTACCGTAAGCTGTGTTGGCACCCTGTACAATGACAATGTTATGGCCCATTTTAGGAAAGTCTTAAAGGAACGGGAGGTACAGAGCTCTATGGACAGATTTGTTGTGCGACAGAGGTCCAGTGACTCTCAAGCTGGTCCTAGTGGCATTAAAAGAAGGGAAGTAACCCCAGAAAAGGACTTGCTACTTCAAGTCCTAATGGAAGGGGATTCCCCTTCTAAACAATAACTTCCACACTCTCCCCTCCTCCCATCCCATCAATCAACACCAGATCTTCAATAAAGGTAAGTATTCTATTAGTAGAGTAGTAATTGTGCATATCTTCTTCAGTTTGTATTAAAATTAATATTTCATGTGGTAAAAAAAAATTTTTTTTTTCATACTTTGGGGTGTCGGGAACGGATTAATTTGATTTCCATTATTTCTTATGGGAAAAATTAATTCGGCTAACAATAATTTCGGCTTACGATGACCTCTCAGGAACGGATTAATATCGTAAGGAGGGGTCCACTGTATATGGAATAGGTGGTAAGTTACTAAATGCTGTTAAGAGTTTTTATGAGGATAGTGAGGCTCAGGTTAGGGTGTGTGGAAGAGAAGGAGACTACTTCTCGGTAAAAGTAGGACTTAGACAGGGATGTGTAATGTTGCCATGGTTGTTTAATATATTTATAGATGGGGTTGTAAAGGAAGTAAATGCTAGAGAGTTCGGGAGAGGGGTGGGATTAAATTATGGGATATTAAATAAAAAATGGGAAGTAGCACAGTTACTTTTTTCTGATGATACTGTGCTAATGGGAGATTTTAAAGAAAAATTGCAAAGGTTAGTGGACGAATTTGGGAGTGTGTGTAAAGGTAGAAAGTTGAAAGTGAACATAGAAAAGAGTAAGGTGATGAGGGTATCAAATGATTTAGATAAAGAAAATTTTTATATCAAATTGGGGAGGAGTAGTATGGAAGAAGTGAATGTTTTCAGATATTTGGGAGTTGACATGTCAGCGGATGGATTTATGAAGGATGAGGTTAATCATAGAATTGATGAAGGAAAAAAGGTGAGTGGTGCATTGAGGTATATGTGGAGGCAAAAAATGTTATCTATGGAGGCAAAGAAGGGAATGTATGAAAGCAAAGTAGTACCAACACTCTTATGTGGGTGTGAAGCTTGGGTTGTAAATACTGCAGCGAGGAGGCAGTTGGAGGCAGTGGAGATGTCCTGGCTAAGGACAATGTGATGTGTAAATATTATGCAGAAAATTCAGTGTGTGGAAATTAGAAGAAGGTGTGGCGTTAATAAAAGTATTAGTCAAAGGGCTGAAGAGGGGTTGTTGAGGTGGTTTGGTCATTTAGAGAGAATGGATCAAAGCAGAATGACATGGAGAGCGTATAAATCTATAGGGGAAGGAAGGTGGGGTAAGGGTTGTTCTCGAAAAGGTTGGAGGGAGGGGGTAAAGGAGGTGTTGTGGGCGAGTGGTTTGGACTTCCAGCAAGCGTGCGTGAGCGTGTTAGATAGTGAATGGAGACGAATGGTATTTGGGACCTGACGAGCTCTTGGAGTGTTAGCAGGGTAATATTTAGTGAAGGGATTCAGGGAAACCGGTTATTTTATATAACCGGACTTGAGTCCTGGAAATGGGAAGTACAATGCCTGCACTCTAAAGGAGGGGTTTGGGATATTGGCAGTTTGGAGGGCTATATTGTGTATTTTTATACATATATACAGTGGACCCCCGCATACCGTTGGCATCACATACCGTTTATTCCGCATACCGCTCACTTTAATCACAAAAATTTTGCCTCGCATACCGCTCAAAAACCCGCTCACCGCTGTTCGTCCGAGACGCGTCCAATGTGCGCCTTAGCCAGCCTCACATGTTCCGCCGGTGGCATTGTTTACCAGCCAGCCTCCGCGGTAGCATCCAAGCATACAATCGGAACATTTCGTATTATTACAGTGTTTTTGGTGATTTTATCTGGAAAATAAGTGACCATGGGCCCCAAGAAAGCTTCTAGTGCCAACCCTACAGCAATAAGGGTGAGAATTACTATAGAGATGAAGAAAAAGATCATTGATAAGTATGAAAGTGGAGTGCGTGTCTCCGAGCTGGCCAGGTTGTATAATAAACCCCAATCAACCATCGCTACTATTGGTGGTACAGCTGCTGCTGCTGCTGCTGCTGCTGCTGTAGCATCGTCTGGCTGCTGCTTGCTGTAGCATCGTCTGCTGCTGCTGTAGCATCGTCTGCTGCTGCTGTAGCATCGTCTGCTGCTGCTGTAGCACTGTTGTTGGTGTGGCTTATTGAGAATATACCAAGAAACAATTAACCCCAGAGGATTTTCCACCCAGGATAACCCAAAAAAGTCAGTGTCATCGAAGACTGTCTAACTTATTTCCATTGGGGTCCTTAATCTTGTCTCCCAGGATGCAACCCACACCAGTCGACTAACACCCAGGTGAACAGGGAAAAATGCCTGGAACTAGTGCTCATATTGGTGAATTTAAAGCCAGCAAAGGTTCGTTTGAGAGATTTAAGAATCGTAGTGACATACACAGTGTGATAAGGCATGTTCTGGAAGAAAATACCAAACAGGACCTACAGTACTCGGGAGGAAAAGGCACTCCCAGGATACAGTGTCTCATCAGTCATTGCTGCATCTTCAATAAAGGCAAGTGTCATTTATTCTTCATTTAGTAGACTAGTACATGCACAATATATACTGTGCATGTACTACTCTACTATTGTGCATGTCTCCTTCTCTTTGTGTGTAGGAAAATGTATATTTCACGTGGTAAAAAATTTTTTTTCATACTTTTGGGTGTCTTGCACGGATTAATTTGATTTCCATTATTTCTTATGGGGAAAATTCATTCGCATACCGATTATTTCGCATACCAATGAGCCCTCTTGCACGATTAAAATCGGTATGCGGGGGTCCACTGTACTTCTAAACTGTTGTATTCTGGGCACCTCTGCAAAAACAGTGATTATATGTGAGGTGAAAGTGTTGAATGATGATGAAAGTATTTTCTTTTTGGGTCACCCTGCCTCAGTGTTGAAAAAATAAAAATGCATATAGTAAAAGATGAATGAACTTTAAAATAAATCTAACCACAGATTAAAAAAGATCCTGACTAACATAGCCCTGTATTACCTGAAAGACTGAAAAACATTTTGGTGGATATAACAGAATCTTTACAGAAACATTTAAAACATGTGAAGAACTATCTTATACATAACATTCTGTTATCAAATCGTTCTGCAACTTATGTACAATTATCTCAGTTAACATTTTTTTACTGACAATGAAGTTCTCATACACTTGCAATTAACTAACCTGTGTTTGCCTCCGCGTCTACTGCGTTGTTTCTTTGTGCCTCCCAGATTTCCTCCTGCAAGACCCTGGTGCTGTGTAGTGCTTCCATCGCTCCCGCCAGCCTTGAGAATCAAAGAAAATTTAACATATTCATCTAATGAAGAAAATATCAATTATACATAACATCTGAAAGCATTATCTCACAGATAACCTTTATAAACAATACTTTAGAACTGTCCTATTCCCACAAATTTTCTTCAAGCTAAACATGCAATAACAGCCTAAAAATTATCCTTCATATTTTTTTCTGACATTTTATCTAAATACATATATAGATCACATTTTAACCTATACAGATATTAATTATATTAAGCAAAAGTCAATAATTTCCTTCATAACAATGTAATTAATTATATACTTCAATATATTAGTCTCCAGTCCTTTCAAGGAAGGTACCATTATGATGGTGGAGGGATACTGATCCAAAGAATTGAAGCTACCCTCTCGTTTCTTGAATCAAATCTAATTGCTTCCCATTTCCCCAAGCCACTGTATGATCTTTATGGGTCTAGTACCACTCAACCCCTAAGCAAATAAAAAATTAGGTTTAGCGTTATTTCAACCAATTTCCAACAATTCTTGTGAACCCTATCAACCCAGTTTCACAAATCTCATCGATTCCTATCAAATGTGTGTACTAGTACCTATTTCTAAACAAGTCTTGTTTTCTTTACCATTTATCTTTAATTTTCTTTAGGTGTCCTCATTTATCCAAGAGCTTGCAATACTTAAACCAAAGAAAATAGAAAACATAAGCACAATACTATACAAGAGCCAAGTTAAAAGTTTGATTTGGCTTAACACTGAAGACTGATTAGCAATAGCATGCCCCCTAATATTGTCTAACCTTTATACAGTAATTCCCTTTATACAGTAAATGCTGGTAATATTGTAGAGTTGAATGTCTCGATACAGAATATCATAGTCACACTTTAAAAATGCTTGAAGTTTGCTAGCATCAGAAATAAAAATTATGTTTATCATTAAGAAAAGCAAAAAAAAAAAATTGATTTACTTTAAGAAAATGTTATATGAAGCCCTTAGATTATTGAGGTCCCTCAAGCCAAGCATTTAACTAACTCCCAGATTATGGCCCACAGCTGTCAACTAATACCAAGCACTTAATTTAATGTTTAGAAATGCAAAATATTTTAAATCCAGCCAATACTAATTTGACTACTGAAATCCTGTGTACAGTATTAGAGTAAAAATGTGTAAAGTCTTTAATTATGTGGAAAGTTGCAGCCAAACTGAAATAAAATTCATAAACATCTACAAGACTAAAGTATACCCTGTCCATGTAATCACTAAGTGTTCCAGCCCTAGGGAAGGTAAAATGTGTGGTGAGTGGACTATTGATTTAGGAAATTGGATTTGCCAGTCCAACTTAACCGAACCAATCCAGGGTGTATAAATCTACAGGTTTCCTTTCCCCATTATCAATAATTAATGTATCCACAATGAAGGTTCTCTTATGCTGGTGAGAGGCTTTTGATTTAAGGAATTGGACTTGTGCTCTATTCTGAATCAAGTCTAAATGCCTTCCATACTCCTAAGGTGCTCTACGATCCCTATGGGTTTAAAGCTACCCCATGAATGTAATCATCATCATCTTCCCCATATTGCATTCCCCAACATCATCATTACAGAATCTACCACTTTTGCAGACTTGGAAAGCATTCACTATAAAGAAGGCACCATTGTCCTTCAATTAGCACTGACACTGCATGTACATTATTAAATTTTATACAAGATACGGTAATTAATAACTATATATAGAGTAAAGAAAGTACATAATTCACAAAAATTACCACTGCTCTACAAGAACAATATAATTTTGTGTGTGGTGAGAACTGCAAAAAATACCTATTACTTTAAACCAACTTATTTAAATTATCATGCTGAAAATTTACAGACTGTTTTCCACATCTAAAAATAGCAATTTTTTTCTAAACATTACTAACATTCTTACTAAAAAGCCATGGTGCTAAGCATTAATGAAATCCCTAGTTGAAAAGGCAAACATTTGATGAGGCACTAACACTGCCAAGTACAATGCATAACAATTGCAGAGGCAAGAGGGCTGAAGCCCTTCAAAAAAGTTCATCAACCTCCCAAAAAAAAAATACATAATGCTACTACAAGTTCCAAGCAGATTGCCACCCCTGAACCCCTCCTATGTAAAATTTCTGGAGCCGACTGTGTCACATATCTGTGTGCATGAGAATCAAAAAACGTGGACCAGATGGCAAGCATAGTAACACAAGAGTAAAAATTTAGTCTTACCTGACATCCTTCAC